CASASACMMCMCMYATWKTKTTTTTTAMAAAAACCTAATTTTGAATTTAAAWTTTAAATGCCATCTTCAGCAGCATTACCGTTAGCTTTTGTTGCAGCATATTGTCACAAGAAAAGCTGCGTACCAGCGGCAACGGCTGCATGTAAACATCAGCATTTAGCTGCAACAATTAAAATTTAATGTTTTTACATTTAGATTTACCAGTTACATGTAACTTTTACTTTTAACATTTACTAAAAATTAGCAAAATGTAAGAAAAGTGAGCAGAATAAAATGGCATAAGAATTTTTTAAAACCACTTCAGAAAGAGCAAACTTCAGAAAGTGAGCTAAATTGTGAAAATGTGTTAGTAACATTTTGTTTTACATTTGGCACCACATACCTTATTTAAACTGGCAAATCTGACTTGTATGGTAGATAAAACAGTCACTAATTATTAGTTGGAGATKCTGCTGGACAGACAAACCCACACAACTTGGTGAAATGTGTGGGAAAAAATAGACTGAGATAAAATCAGCTGAATGACTTCCATCTTTTCACACAGAAAAAAAAACTTATTTAATGAATAAAATCTTTTAATACAACAAAGCACGCCATTTTTATTGGATTAAACAGAAAGTTTGCTTCTTTTTTTAACCATATAACCAACAACACGGATGTCAATCATCCTGCGCAGCACATTAAAAAAACAGCATGTGCTCATTTTTAAAATCCCCAGAATGCCTCAGCGTATGTCTCCCGTACCTTTTCCAGCTGGGCGTTCTGCTTCGACTTGTACAGGACCTCCCCCACAGCAACAAACACMGACAGCACGAGTCCTGCAGCCAGCACGATGAAGATCCCCCCGATGTTCTGGACTCCCAGAGCGCTGGCCTCTTTACTCTCCTCCTCGGGACAGCCGTTGCCTCTCCACCACTTCTCCTTCATCATGTGCAGCTTGCCTTCCTCTTGCAGCTGCAGAATGGCTATTGTGATCTTGTCTCTGTATGGGGAGCCTGTGAACAGGAAAAACACCATGAGACTGGAGAACATAGTATGAATGTACGTAGGATGTGGGAAAAATAAAAGAAATTGCCTGGTACAGTTTTTGTTTTGTTGGTGGGTTTCAGAAACATTTTAAGGCTTGTGATCATAAAACCTGTCGTTCTCTTTAGCTTCTTTTAAAGAGAGTTTTTTTTGTAAGTCCCTCTTTAAATCCCACTAATCCGCATCTTCAGAGTGATTCCAAAATTTTCACCCATCTCTGCAGTGTGTGAGTTATAATGCCAGGGAGTTGGCAGCAACTAGTTTTGCTTTGTGTGGCGGAGCGGCTGTTGAATTTGATGTAATAGTTGCTTTTTTTTGCAGATGCTTTTACGTGACCAAAAAAAAAAAAAAAAAGAGCCAACAAACAGAAGAGTCCAGTATGGTGAACATTAGTTGGTTGGCTGTGTTTGGGATTAGATGTGTGTAACAACTGGAAATAGTTTCTCTATTACTTTGTTTTTATGCATATTAAAAAAGACAATATTAATTCCTATCCTTAGGTAATATATTATTACAGGAAACCGATTCAATTTTTGGGGCACCACTTTACAATAAGGCTCCYCTTTATAGATGACTTGTAAAWAGKTTWTRTATAGGTTATTAATTCATCTGTAACCACTTTATAAATCATTAATAAGTGTTTATTATGCATTAATTAAGAATAAGAAAGWGACAAAATGTCTGGTTTATTGCTAAATAGTSAGTCAAATCTGTTCATGTACATACTATAGAGTGTTTTATTAAACATTTCACACTAGGTTAATTTGTAAGCACAATAATGTATTGGAAACACATATTTACAGTAGGTACACTATTAATGATTAATAAATGTGTATAAATGTCATAATGGAGCCTTATAAATAGTGCACAGTCTTACACTTTACAATAAGGTTCAGTTAGATGGTTGATGTGTATAATACAGTGCAATATTATATGTGAAATATGTGTTTCCAATACATAATTGTGTTTACAAGGTAGTAACSTAGTGTGAAATGTTTAATATTGCACTTTAGATGTMATATGTACGTGAACAGATTTGAATCACTATTTGACCGAAAACCGGACCGTTTTGTCTCTTAATTAATGCATAATAAACATTTAATAATGACATATAAAGTGTTTACAGAAGGCAAGTTAAATTTAAGACTTTTTAAGACCTCTTTAATGCCACTTGAAAATAAATTTAAGACCAACTTCACAATAAACATAAATGAAAAATAAAACCCAGTTAGAAACAATTTTAACGCAATATTTATTTTAACACAAAACAACTAGCTATGAGAGACATTCAGTAAATTATTTTTAAAAATAAATAAATGTTACCAATTATTTTAACATTTGAGACAAGTAATCCTAATTACAATGTGTTAACATTTTTAAGACTTCTGAAAGGTTGATTTAAGACATTTTAATGCTAGTTTAAGGCCTTGTTTTTGGTTTGATGAATTCAATGCCTTTTAAGACTTTTTAAGGATCCGCAGGAACCCTGCAGATAAATTAATAACCTATCTATGAAGTATTTATAAGCCATCGATAAGGGGAGCCTTATTGTAAAGTGGTACCATTCTTGGAACATGGATATTTATTTACAGACGTAACGTTTGCCACGTCACAGCAATGTGGACCATTTCACTGAGAACCTCCCTCTGTTTCAGACTCAGTAAATGGCCTTGAGCTACMTAATTACAAAACCCGGTCACACCAACTGAGGGTGGTCCCTCCTATGTCACAATCCTACTCTGTCATGTGACCAGGGTTTCAGAATGTGTGTTAAGCTAAATAGAGACTAGTAAATGCACAAAATATCTTTCATGGCCAACATTAAATGTATAAGGGGAAAAATGCCCCCCCCCAAAACCCCACCTTGGTGACGCCTCTGCTGTGGAAAGATTCTGAGCATTTTGTATTAAACTCTTAGCTCTTTGAATAACTTTCACTGAGGAAAACAAGTTTATTTTCAACTACTTTGACAAGCTAACAGCTAGTGAGCAAGACCAAAGTAGATTGCTATTCCTGCTGGAAGTTCCCCCCGGCTGCACTGGAAATGCTACASCTAGCTGCTGCTGCTGCTTTTTGATCTTACACAAACATAAAATCTTATATAAATGATTATGTAAATCAAACTGATGGCTAAATGTTTCTAAGTATTCCCAAAAAACTGCTCCGAATTTTTTTTAAACTTGGGCTATCTTCAACAGGTAAGATACTACATGTTTATAACCTTTTACAGAACTTTATTGTAGAAGACCTGTCACTACAGTGGTGTGACTGATGCACTGATAATCGTGACACAGGAGCTGAGAGATCCAAACACCTTATCTAAGCCAGAGAAAAATTAGCACTCGTGGTGAGCTCGTCTGCTCTAAAAGCTTATTAGTGTATTTATGTGATTACAAACTCATGCATAATGAAGCCTAGTTTGTACATTTCCATTTTAGGCACTTGTCTCTAGTGGTTACAAGGCGTGACTTGAAACAAATATATGATTTCGTTTTTAAATGATGCCGTTCTGGAAAAACACGAGAACGTTTTGTGCTAACTCACCAGGGGATATGAAATAAATATAACCCCAGGTAGCGGGGCGACGTCACTTTGTGTGCCCGTCTAAATCACTTTTTCCTGTCATCCTGTTTTTGTTAATCCTCTCCCCGTCCCATCTATCATTTATCCATCACCATCCATCATCCTTTCATCTTTAAGTCTCTGTGTTTTCACACTGACAAGGGGATGGGACGACAAAATTGAAAATTACACACAGTGCCACAGATTTATTTTTATTTTATTGGCATATTCTTTTATTCCCCCCCCCCCCCCTCGTCATAAATGTTTTTTTTCCTTTTCCAAAGTGTACTTGTGCTGTTTTGAAGCACCTTGAGGAAGCAGCCTTCAGTTGTATTCCACATTTAAGCACGCACAAGTCTCCAAACACACTCCTTTATGGGACTTTGCATGTGAGGAGCATTTCTCCACTTCATTTAAAGATGAGAGATCTATCAAGTATCCGAGTCCCCAGATTCTGGTTCCCCCTCATATTTCAGATGATTAATGATGGCCTAACAAAGCGGGCCTTGGATAAATGCTAATAGGATGGGTCCTTAGAGAGGAGGATATGGAGAGCGAGATCTGGGCGAGTGGAAAACGCGCTGCGCTCGACACACTGTGCATTTACAACTAGCTCACAGATATTCAACTCCAGAGGACATCCATCATTCTTACACTGTCTCGCCTCGAGTATTAATAGGATCACAGTTTGAGTCGATAGCTAGAGATGATGCATTTGTGTTTTGGGCAAATGACGCTTAAAAGTCGGCAGCGTGGAAAAGGTTAAGATAACATAAAGCTCCTTTTGTTTTCATGCTAAAGGTACGCACAAAAAAAGTCAACCTTCATAGGGTTTAGAGCAAAAGAAAAAAAAAGGGGGCACAGCCACCTAAAAAATATAAAGATACATAAAGAACTTCCATTCTTTCACAAAGACTGTGTCCAAAAAAACAACTCGCTTTAAACTAATAAGGTAATGAACTATCTCAGGACCTCTTCTGTCACAGAGGAAACATTCTTGCAGGCTGTAATTTGCCTATTGAGCAATGAAAAGGAGAATTAGAAACAGAAATGGGTTAGTGGGCAGTAATAGCTTTGAGATTAGACATTTTAATTAGCAACTATTATGCATTTAAACCCTAAACTGCTTCTTGCTAAATTTAGGTGATTTTAATGAGATTGTGTTCTACTGTATCGCTACATAAACGGAAACTAAAAAAACAATCTGCCATAGGTTCTATATGCCCATTTCAAGGGCAGCACTGCTGCACTTATAGGAGCACAGCGGGAACGTATAGTTCCCAGCTTCACCTCAGCTTTTTTATAGCCAGGGCGACGGCTGCATCCCTGCAGGTTCACACACACACACACACACACACACACACACACACACACACACACACACACACACACACACACACACACA